GCACCAGCAGGGACGGCATCGCGCCGCAGGAACGCGCCTGCCCTCGCCGCCGACTCGCCCTCTGCCCCCCACCCACCCTTCCTCTTTCCTCCCCACTCTACTCTCCGAGGTCCCTGCGCCCCCTTGGGCGCTTAAAGAAAATAGAATACCCCCTTCACTAACGCGCCCAAAGACAGAGACGAAGAGTCCTTCTCTGCAGTGTCACTAGTTTTAAAAAAAGAAAAAAAGGAAAAAAAGTTCACCGGGTGTAAGCCTGTGCGTCTGTAATATACATATATATTCTTATCACAAATACATATATTCGCCCTCCCTTGATACATATATCACTTTGCTTAGAGGTGGCTTCTTATTTTGGGCGTTGCTAAGGTTGCTTTTGAAAGCGTATTTGTAAAAGAAAAAAAAAAAAGTTCGACTTGTCCAAGTGCTTGTAATTGACGGTGCATCTCCCTCGCGTTTGATCTCATTGATTCGCGCGGGTTCCTGGATCCATAGCCCGCGTTTAAATAGCGTGGCAGCGGCTGAGCGTGTCAACACACACGGCGCGCCGAGGCCGGGCTTGTATTTCCAGCGGGTGGGGGGGGTGGGGGTGGGGAGCAGTGGGGGCTGGGCTGGAGAGCCTCTCATTAACATTCTTACATCAGGGCTCCTCCCCGCGCCCCTTCCCTGCCCACGCTCCCGTGTCCCTGACCCTCACTTCCCGCCGGCCCTCTGCCTTTTCCTTAAAGCCGCAACCGCCCACGTCTGCACCAGCAGGAGCCCCCACCGATCCGCGCGCCTCGGCGAACCCCGCCTCTCCTTGGCCAAGCTCTCTCCAGCTCCGGGCTTTAAAAAAGGAAACGTGTTTGAAAGTAAAGAAATGCGCGCGCGCGCGCGCACACACACACACACACACACACACACACTCATGCCGTGCAAAACAAAAAACAAAAAACAGGATTGAGGGAAGGGGGTGGTTTCAGAAATTGTAATTTCGGTGCAAAAACCCGCAGGTCCGTCCCTCTCTCACCTCTTTCTCTCGCTCCGACCACATTCCTTCTTGACGCGCCGGCTGGGGCCAGCACCTGACCTCCCCGGTCCCCCGGTGCAAGGCCAGGGGACAAGGACAGAGGTCCCTGGGTAGATGGCACGATCGCCGACCTGGTATGCCCAGCCGGCCGGGGCGTTCCCCGCACCCTTCCCTCCTCCGCCCCGCGCCGGTCCCCTCCCTCTGGGCCACGCGGGTCCGCGCCGGAATCGCAGCGGTGCCAGGGTGGCCGCGCACAGACCCTCCGCGGCCGGCGCGCTGAGAGTAGGAAAGCGAAACTTGTTGCTCCCAAAGGCGGATGAACCATTCGGCTTCTGGAAGTGGCACACAGCTTGGAAAGCATCCCCAAGACGGCCTCGGGGCTTTGTTTGCTAAACCAGGTAACTCAGTGGAGGCACGGTCTCCCCAGAACATTCCCGGGAGGGTCCTCTGGGTGTGGACCGCACGCTTCCCTTCCACCCGAGCGCTCAGAGACCCGACTTAGATCTGACAGCAGAACCCAGGTTCCGCGACGCCGAGGGAGGTCCTGCCTCTGAAACCCAGCCCTACCACTGACCACAGCCACAACAGCCGTGGAGACGGGTTGGAAGCGGCTTTGGAGACGTCGGTGGCCGGAGAAGCGTTGCCGGAGTCCGCCAGGCGACGGGGCGGGCGGGAATGGAACTGGACCCTCCGTGCGGAACACACCCAAGTCATTTGCAATGGGAGCGTGCTACATTGGACGGGAGAATTCTGACACTTGAGCACCGCACATTTAAATGAATTGAAAATGTTTTAACATGGTCTTTCACTTGACCCGCCGTCCGTGTCCACAAATTTCTACTCGTCTCAGGCCAACGCCCTCTTTCGGCAGAAACTTGCACTCAGCCCCAGGCGCTGATTTTTTTTTTTTTTTAACTGCTAGGGCCTAAAGCACCCTGGCTTTCGAGAGTGACCGTGAAAAGACAGACAAATTAGGCAATGTGGGGTTTCTAGGGATGTGGCAACGTCGGGCGTCAGCGCTCGCCGCGTTCACTACACTCTCCCTATCGCCCTTTCTGGCGCCTTAAATATAAATATAGGTGATGTTTGAACCCCTGGATCCTTTAGATTTCAGATTATGCACAGCGATCCCTAAATCTTCGCTGTAAGTAAGAGCTTCCAACTGCTACGATAACTTTCTTTTATTTAATTAGAGCTACCAACCAGTAGCAAAACAGACATCTATATGAAATTTAATGATTTAGTTCCACAAACAAGGGTAATCCACACACACTGGAAATTGAGATTTAGCGCTTCACAGCAACTAAAGGAGATGTATATATATATATATATATATATATATATATATATATATATATCCTATGAAATACATATAACAACAAAACAACAGCTAAATCTCAAATTCCAAGAATCTTAATGGCTTTCAAAACCGGTTGCCAGAAGGCATGAAGGAACCGGGGTTTCCTGTTACTCCGCGGTCCGCTGGGTGTCTGGGGAATCCGGCCAACCGCGATACGGTTCTGCCATGTACGGTGTGGGCTTACTCCGAGAGTCTGGGGTTTCACGGGCACCGGGCGTGAACTCCTCTCCAGTCCCAGACGCTGCCCAGCCTCGCCTGCGGATCACCAGCAGGGCAGGGCGTTTACCTTAGGGTGAGTGCTGGTAGCCTCTCTGTGGCCTTGGGATAGGAGCTCTCGACTTCCAGCTTGTCACCAAAGAGCACCCGGAAAACGAAGCTTCCGTGGAACAGAAGAGCCCCCAAAATAGACAGCCAGTGTCGATGCTCTTGCTGAGGTTCAAAACACCTCTTAAAAATTCCAGTGTGCTACAGGCTTGAGTCACTGTGCCCAACCAAGTACATTTTTTAATATTGTGAGAAATAAAGGTTGAAGCTCATTTCTTACAAAAAAAAAAATCCAATGTGCAAAAATTAGGATTTGAAAGAAAGTTTTTAAAATGAAAAGTCACAAGATTATAGGAAGACCCACCAAGTAATTTAAGTATATGGATTTTAAAGTATGGGTTTGTTTACTTTCCACCAAATTAGATTTCTTTGCCACCAACTGAAAGCTTGTGTAAATATCACTGGGTTCTAGATGTTAGGGGCAGAAAGGACATAAGAAGTCACCAAGCCTGACGCCCCTCAGTCTCTAGGTTGATTAAGGCCCAAAGAGTGTAAATGGCATACTTAAATACCTCTTCAAACCCTAAGAAAAATTTTTAATGGAATTAGATTTGAAATAAGCCGTATACCACCAATTACATCATGTAAACAACGGTAAGGCACAAAGCTAACTCCAACTTTAAGTAATAATAATCTTTATGTTAAAACTTTATTTTATATATAGCTAAGGTTTGAGGTTATTACAGCACCATAAACTCATAAATAATATCATTTTACAATAGAAGGTTTGCAGAACTTTAATCACAAAAAAAGAACCAAGAGAAGAAAAAAGAAAAAGGAAAAAAATAGAAATATCTCATCTTTTTTTACTCAATTTTATAATATTGTTCCTTTCAATTCTTTATAACACTGAAATGGAAGTGGGGAGAAGCACTTTTTTAACATTCAAAAGCATGCTAACCTTATTACTGGATGCACCCTTTCTGGTTTCAATTGTTGAAAGAAAACAAAAGAAAGTTACAGAAAAATGCTGCAAAATAAAATAATCAATTGAAAGGCAATGTTAACCCTAAAGGTGATATTACAAAAACTAACAGACTTTTTATAGGATTTAGAAATGTTTTCATCAGTATCCACAAACCATATTTTTTTAACTTCAAGTTACTAAAACAAGATAGCAAGTTTTTTAGTATTCAACTGTTTGTTTTCCAGCTCTATGAAATGAAACTAGTGTCCATATGTTACCTCTCTGCAACCAGAAAAACAGCAGTGATAGAGAACCTACAGTGTGATTCTTTGAAATACACTATAAATGCTATCAGAAGGAAGGTTTTTCCACCCATTGTAACAATCTCTATAACCTTCTCCCTTAGAATTATGGCAGCAACGTCTAAAGTAAGTGTCCATTCAGATTTCCAAAGGGCCTCATCTCTCTGGTTGAGCCAGTCCTGAAGTCACATTTAAGATTACCCCTGTGAAGCTCCTGGCCCACAACAAAATACCTTCTGAGGACAGAATTGTTGAAAACACACTCCCCCTAGAGGCAGAAAAAAGTCACACATGATTCAAGAACGTTTCTATAATTTAGTGTGTTGAGAATTTATTTTTAACATATAGTTGATAATTTAGAGGGACCCATTCAATAAGTAGAAGAAAAATCAAATCAATGTATGGCAAAAAAATTAAACCTTGCCTCTAGGTTTAACTTGCTTTGACAGGAACTCTATTAACTGACGGCTTTTCTTTTATTATACAAATCTAGTAATTTTTTTCAACACCACAAATAATAGTAATTACATATTTTCATATTTAGATATATTATTCAATTTTATTAGAAACTACAGCTAAATGTTACCTTGAAGGATTCTTTCAAAAACACAGAGCTGCTTCTGTATTGCTATGCTCTTAGGTTTCCATCAACTACAATCTTTTTTTTTTTTTTTCATTCTTTGGAGATTCTCTGAGACAAAGTGACATTGGAAAGAGTTCTGAAAAACATATAGCTGGTCTGGCTACTGGCCTGAGATTCATAAGCTATATGAAGAATTCTCATACCATTGATTTGTAAGCAAATTATTTAATGTAGGTTATGACAGCCACAAAAACAAATGTGTGAGAGAACTTCAAAATGTCCATGAAAAATATAATTAAAAGATAAAATATGCATATAAACTTAATTTCTCAGCATAAATTCCTTCAAGTGGTGGATAAGCCACGATACCAGCCATTTAGTCCATCCCTAAAGAATTGAAGGTCTTGGGAACTTGACCATCATTTTTACATTATTAACTGAAGAAAAATGAGTGTCCTATATAGATTTTTTAAGATTGGGAAACAAAAAAAGAAGTCAGAAGGAGACAAATCAAGACTATAAAGTAGATGCCTGATGATTTCCCATCAAAACTCTAAAAAAAAAAAAAAAGTCCTTGTTTGATGAGAGGAATGGGGAAGAGCATTGCTGTGGTAGAGAAAGACTCTCTGGTGAAGTTTTCCTGGATGTTTTCCTGCTAATGTTTTAGCTAGCTTTCTAAAAACACTATCATAATAAGCAGATGATATTTGGCCCTTCAGAAAGTCAACAAGTAAAATACCTTGAGCATCCCAAAAAATCACTGCCATAGCCTTTACTCTTGACCAATCTGCTTTTGCTTTGACTAGACTACTTCCACCTTCCACCTCTTAGTAGCCATTGCTTTGTCTTTAGGATTGCCCTGGCAAAGCCAAGTTTTATCTCCTGTTACAATTCTTCAAAGAAATGCTTCAAGATCTTGACCTCACTTGTTTAAAATTTCCATTGAAAGCTCTGCTCTTGTATGCTGCTGGTCTGGGTGCAACAGTTTTGGCACCTGAGTGAAAAGTTTGCTTAACTGTAATTTTTCAGTGAACAATGTGTAAACCATAGCAATAGAGATGTCTATGGTGTTGATTATTGTTTCTGCTCCTAACTGTCAGTCCTCTTTAATTAGGGCACAAACAAGATGAATTTTGTCCTTAAAAATTGATGTGGATGGTCTGGCACTGAGTGCTCCATCTTCAATATCATCTCATCCCTTCTTAAAATGAGTTATTCATTGGTAAACTTCTGATTTCTCTGGGGCATTACCTTCATAAACTTTTCATAAAGCATCAGTTATGTCACCATTCTTCCGCTCAAGCTTCATCATAAATTTAATGTTTGTTCTTGCTTCAGTTTTAACAGAATGTGTGTTGCTCTGACAGGAGCTCTTTTCAAATGGATGTCTTATCCTTCTTAGTGCCTCAAACCAGATTCTGTTCAGACATGTCATAACAAGTTAGTATTGAGTTTATTTTGGTGCAAAAAAAATTTTGAAAGTCATGCATAGTTTTTTTCATGGTACACATTTTCTATGAACTTTTTGAAGACCACCCTCATATATATGCTTCAACTTCATGCATTCAAATACTAACTACATTTTTAACTACTTTTCTTTAGTTGTGCACTGCCTTCTTCCAAAAATAATTTGAAAAAGCACGTAAATATATAAAATAGAATTTTACCAAGCTTTCCTCAGGGGACTATGCATAGCCATTAGTTTCACTGCCTTGTGTGCTTTCTTCCTAAAGCCTTTAATAACAGCTCCAAGCCTCTGAAATAATCTCCTCTCCTATCTGATTTTCCAGAACATTCAATCATGTATGATCACACTTAATTTTATTTTCATTTACAGGGAGGTATGTCTGGATTAGGATCCAGTTTTTAGGGTGGTATACTGTGGAAACAGCATGCATTCTGAAGCCTCACAAACATGTCAGTACATTATCACTTAACCTGTTTGACCTTCAGGTTCCTTATTTTCCTTAATTTTCTCACTTCTAAAATGGAGATACACCCTGGTGTTGTCAAAGCAAGGATGAGAAAAAGCAGATGTAAAGTACTTAGTATGCAGTAGGAAATTAATAAATGGCAGCTCTTATTATTACATTTCCTTCAATGCCTAGTAAAAAGTATTATACCAAGGACGTGCTCAATATATGCTGAATGAATGAATTCAAAACTGTAAATGATATGGTTTATGCATAACTTGTTTGAAATTATCTACTATCTGATCACAACAGACCTTCTTGGATAATGTTTGTTAACACTGGCTTCCTTAGAGGAATTCTTTTGGCAGTCACCTTGATATTGGCCCTGGATTTTCAACCTCAGATATTTCCTGGTAAGCTTGAGACAAGAGCTTGCTGGATATTCTTTCTCCTACATAATAGGGCAAAGGGAGCCACCACACAGCTGCTCTTAACAGTTATGGGATCCTCCAGAAACCCAGGCTGCCTTCAGCCAGAGAGAATTAGAGGGAACAATGGAAGACAGAGAGCAATCAGGGACAACAAGAAGAAGGGGGGAAATGGCTAAGCAAGGAGCAGGACTTCAATAAAGAGGGAGAACAGGAAGCAGGTCATATAAAAGCACAAAAAGGACTGTATTGGGAGGAATACATTTAATTTGCAGATCCTGGATGTTCTCATAAATAATGAGAGAAGAGTAGAATGTATCAATGTACTCAATACTTGGGTTATAAAAATGTCGGGCCCAGGGCTTAATGCTCTTGTTCTGTTCAACGAACCTTTTTAACTATCTACAGTGTGTCAAGGAGTATGGCGCTCTATGGCCTGAACATTTTGTATCAGACGTCCATTTCTTTTGTTTGAAGGTATGATTTGACCCAAGTTATATTTAGATCTGTGTGATAGCCCAGGCACAGTGGCTCATGCCTGTAATCCCAGCACTTCAGGAGGCCAAGGCAAAAGGATCAATTGAGCCCAAGAATTCAAGACTAGCCTGGGCAACATAGTGAGACTTCGACACTACAAAAAAATCAGAAAAGTCAGCCATGTGTGGTGGCATGTGCCTGTTATCTCAGTTACTTGGGAAACTGAGGTAGAAGGATGCCTGAGCCCAGAAAGTCAAGGTTGCAGTGAGCCATAAGTGTGCCATGGCACTCCAGCCTGGATGACAGAGTGAGACTCCCAACTAAAAAAGAAATCTGTATGATAGCCAATCATGTTACAACAATCAGATATGCTATGTTCAAGAGTAACATTATCAGGACAAAAATTAAATTTCAAAAACATCTTATAAAATTTATTTTTTTGTTTTGTTACATCATAATATTGAACATTTTATATTCCAAATTAAGCAGTATTTAACATTAAAATATATACTCCAAGGCTAGAAATTTTTCTTGGATTCTGTTTTCTTTTTCAAGAACAAAATGTGATCACTTAAATTTTTATTTTACCAATCATAAATCCAAAAAGTGCAAAGATTACTATGAAACAGAAATTAGAAAAGAAATAATGAAGCAATAAAAGAAAAAAGATAATACAAAGAGAAATTTGCTCATATATATGTATACACTTCTAAAATCATAAATTTCAGAATATTCAGATATGATCATGTTGGATTTCTGATAATGCAAACAATATAAGATGTCAAAGATCCCAAATACTAACTTCCATAGGTCTTATCATGTTGATTTTCCAGCACTTCATCATTCATACTTAAGTCTTGATGATTTCCTTGCTAATGAGAAAAATGCAGCATCCTTAAAAAAAAATAGGCGTGTTATCTTTTATCATGGTATGAACAAAGATTAAAGGTGATGAAGAAAATTTCCGTTACCACCATGTGCAGTGTTGTGAGATACAGTTTTTTATTTCTTTCCAACAAGTACATTCCACTTGATATTACATCTTGGATAACTGATGCATGAGACTAAAATAGAATAGAATGCCATGAGGAAAACATCAGGAAAATTCTTGACATTTGCCCTCTCATACTTTTGGTAATCATATTGTAACATCAAATTTCACCCTCATATTAATGGAGAAGATTGTTTCATCAAGCTGACATTTTTTCTGTTCAATTGCTGGTAACTCTTTTGACATTAAATATTCTTTACTTTCCATCTATCCTACAAAAATATTCTTTAAAGCCTTGTTCTTTTTCCCTTTACCAATTGCCTGAGAGGACTGGTAAGGGCCATTTTAACCTGAATCCTGTTGCTTTGCAGGCTCTTGAATGTCTTGAGGTATGCCATGGGAATGACTTTCTACTTGGACAATTTCACATATTTGAGTGTATATAAGTGTTCAAATCATCTCAAATTGCAAATCATTCATGTTCTAGTGAATCACTTTGGGTTATTTTTAAATCTCAGGTACAAATGTTTTAATTAACCATATCTTCAATTTTCAGCACACTCTCGTGAGTCTACAACATGGTTCTTGTCTTATTTTAATCTCTCCAGTCATTGCTCTCTTCACATATTCTTTACTTTTTAATGTGTTTAATATATGCCGCAGCTAGAGCTATATTCTTATTTTTTCTTTTGTTTTTTCATTAAATTTCTCATATTCAAAGGTCTATATTCTTGAAAAAGAAGGTTTCTTGTGCATGCATGTGTTGTTTCAATATAGAAATTGTATTGTTTCTCAACCAACTCATCTTCGACAAAGCCTCCACCACCAATCACTGGGGAGATGAGAACCTATTCAGTAAATGGTGCTGGGAAAACTGGCTGACCACAGGCAGAAAACTAAAACAAGACCCCTACGTATCCCCATACACAAAAATCAACTCTAAATGGATCAGAGACCTAAATGTAAAACCTCAAACTATAAGAACCTTAGAAAAGGAAGGAAATACTCTCATGGAAATCGGAACTGGCATCCAATTCCTGTACAAAACCCGAAACCCACAGGACTTAAGA